TTTATGTATTTATTTATGCATACAGAATTGGGGTACAGGCCAGAGATGCAGAGGCAGTGAGAGGATTCACCAGAGACAGAGTAGGGAGCAGAACAGGCAGAATGACAAGTACAGTGCTGAGGGGAGCAGCGGGGGGGGGGGGCACAGAGGTCTGCTGTGCCATGTGGGTCACCTCTTGGGCAGGGATCAAACTCTCACTGAAGCAGCTGCAGCCAGCTTGCAGTGCTGTGTCCCAACCGGCTGCACCACCAGTGAGGGCCAGGAGGTGCCTTATTGATTGCATTAAGAATAATAGTAATAGGCCCTCCCTAGTGGCGCAGCGGGTTAAAGCACTGCATTGAGAAGCTAAAGCCACTTCCACATGAGTTCGATTCCCACCTGCCCCGGAGGTGACCACATGGCGCGGCAGACCTCTCCTGGCCCGCCCGCTGCTCCCCTCAGCAGTGTACTTCATAGATCTGCCTGTTCTGCTCCCCTCTCTGTCTCTGGTGAAGCCTCTCACCGCCCCTGAGCCTCTGGCCTGTACCCTAGTTCTGTATGTACAAATAAATAAATCTTTAAAAAAAAAAAAAAGAATAATAGTAATAATAATAATGAGGGCATTCTCCTGGGCTAGGAGATTTGAGGCAGATAACACCGCACCATCACCCTCAAAAATGTGGCAAAGCGCATGGGCAGGTGAGCAGCTAGAAACAGCCTGTGGAGGTTCCTGGATGGGAGGCCCCTGCTCCAGGCGAGTGGGGAACAGGCCCTACAGGCACCTAGCAGAGGACCATCCGGCACCTAGCCCAGTCTCACTGGATAATGGCCCAGTGATGACAAGGGAAAGACTGGAGGCAGGGCCAGCTCCATCACAAAGGCACAGGAGGGGTCAGCAAGCGGGACGGTCAGGAAACAGCCCCTGGTTCTGCATGGTGCAGTGAGCTGGGCTGAAGAAGTCCACCGGGACCAGCCCTGCGTGTATGTGGCTTGTTGCTTGGGTCCTCGGCTTTGCCTTCCTTGGAGAGAAGTAAGCAGCATGTGGCCTGGAGTGGGGTCTTTGAATCTGGGTAGAAAAGCGAAGAACCTGGGCCCCTGCTGGTGGCGTGGTGGGTTAAAGTGCAGCACTGCAAGCTAACCGCGGCTACTTCAGTGCAAGTTCGATCCCCAGCCCTAGAGGTGACCCAAATGGCGTGGCAGATCTCATGCCCGCTGCTGCCCTCAGCAGTGTACTTAGTCAGTCGGCCTGTTCTGCTCCCCACCCTGTCTCTGGTGAATCCTCTCACGGCCCCTGCACCTCAGGCCTGCACCTGAGTTCTGTATGCATAAATAAATAAAATCTTTAAAAAAAAAAATACAACCCTTTTTAAAACAAAGAAGCTAAGAATCTGGCCCTTAGAGTGGAGCCAAGGCCAGGAGGGTGAAATCTTCACACCCGCCTCCACTCTGGCATGTGGCTTTGCCACACGGGCAGCATGAACTGGGCCTGCTGTGGCCAAGGCTGCCCTTCCAATATCAAGGGAGCGCCTGCACAAGAAGAAGGTGGCTTTGCACAGTCCTGAATTCAGGGTCCAGCTGTGCAAGTGCATACACCTGGAGGGGCCCAGAGGGGCCCTTCCTTTCCACAGCCTTATCTTCCCATTCCATGTCAGCCAGTGGGGTGGGGACTGCAAGCGCCTCCCCACCCCACCCAGGACCTGCATTTGGGGTGGAGGGGATAGACACCCATAAGGAAGACACTGTCTGCCCGCTTTGCTCAGCAAGTATCAGCACCTCCCCACACTCAATGAGGTGTGTGGGCAAGACCCGTTAACACTCAGTTCTCTGCCTTATTTTAAATGAAGGCCACTTTAGAACAAAGTCCTGCCACAGACTTACAGGAAGTCAGAATGAGTCTTCATGGAGATGTCAACAGTTTTCTCCAGCTTGGCTGTGTGGCCTGGGCTCTGGCACAGCTGCCCTGGGTGTGAGTCGCTCTGCAGCTCTCTGGCTGTGTGATCTTGGCCATGAGATGACTAAGGCACTGAACCTCTTGTTCTTCACATGTAATAAGGGGGAAGCATCCGCGCAGGGCTACTGTGAAGTCTAAGTGGGACTGATGCTCCGATGCTCGGGACTCTTTGCACTACCATTTCCATTTCTCTGTATACGGCAAGTGGATTTTGTATTCCGGGAGCCCTAAGATTAAGGGAGGCGGGAAAGGTGTGCTGATGCTTAATGAGATGCCACGGAGTCTTTTCATGTTGGAACAATGGCACCTTTTGTTTCCAGAAGGGTCAAAACGTCTGCTCGACAATCTCAGACTACAAACAAAAGCAAAATCAATATCTTGGATGATTGTCCCTAGGGCCAAGTCCAGATGAATAAAGCTGTCAGGGGTTTGTCCCAGACAGCCACAGCTGGGTGCCTGGCCCCAGCACAGCCCTGCCAAGCCCTCAGAGTTCCAGTGGAGCCATAAACATAACCCCACACCCCGAACCCGAGATTCCCAGAACCTGAGATTCCTGTAGGCTCTAGAAGGCAAAGAAGTCAGGTCTCTAGAATTTGCTCCTAGGAGGGTCACTTAGAAGAAACGGCTGGTGGTGTGTGTAAGTGGTAGGCAGATGAGCATTTGTTGTCTGACAAGCTAAACCAAATCAGGGTGGGACCTGGGACAAGTCAATTCACCTCTTGGTTTCCTTTTTCACGTGGTGGTCAGGATGACTGGACACGTGCCGTGCACGAGGTCAGTGTGAGTGTGCTCTCTCCCTCAGGATGCTATAATGTTTAACTCAGGTACCCGAGACTAATGCTCCATCAGGTAAAGCTAGAACCAAAGTGTGGCCCACCCGCAGGGTGGGATGGTTACTACGGGAAGTAACCCCAGGTTTCACCCACCAGCAGGCCGGCACTGCTATTGCAGCGTGAGACCAGAACCCTCAAGACCAGGCCTCCCACAGCCCTGGGGATGGGGCAGTCTCCAGCCCAGGTGCTCACTCCTGCATGCCGTGGCAACAGAACGCCAGCAGCAGACCCTCCCAGGGACTGGGCAGAGAAGTGTGATCCCAAGCAGATGGGGAAGGGCCAGTGTCACCCCCATAGCTCATCATCTTTGAAAACTTTCTGGCTTTATTTTTTTAAATGTTTCCCCGAGGAAAAAAAAAGGAACACCTTCTGTAACAAAAAAATAACAGCAATAGCCATAATAATGAGAAAAGCAAAATAAGCATGTGTAAGTGCATTTTTTTTTTTTTTGTAGAGATTTATTTTGTTTGATGAACTGACACCAGTCCGGGAGAGAGGAAAATGTTGGGAGCCTCGTTCAGGGTAATGAGAGCCCCGGGGGAGGGCAGCGGCTTCCTGCATGGGTGGGTTTGGTGTCGGGTGGGTTGTTTGTTTGACTTGTTGCTGGAAGTGTTCTTTTGTTCACTTTTATAAATCTCTCCCTGGGCTTGCGAGCTTCCCCTCCCTCCCGCCTCCCTTCCCCTGCCCCCAATTTCATTTTTTAAAAAGCGAGCTCGCTCGCCAGGTGTGTCCCCCAAGCTCTCACGGCTCTAATAAATAAGGAGCACCTGTAAAACAGTAGCTTGACTTGTGAAGTGACTGTACAAAGGAGAATATAGAAATACAGTATGTACACCTCATTCATGGGCCGGGGGTGCTTCGAGGCGGGTGTGACACCATCCTGGCCATGCCCCTCCCGCTCAGGCTGGCGGCCTCGTGGGCGGGGCTCCTGGACCCTCCAGAGGGAACAATTGCTTTATTCGAGTTAGTAAACAGATACACTGAATCACAAGGTGATTTGATTTTTTTTTTAAGTTTTCTTCTTTTTTTGATTTTTTTCTTATTTTTTCTCTTTTTTTTTTCTGTACTCATCAGAATGGGACACTCCACGACTGTCTCACCAACTCAGTGCCAGGACACATGCTCTAGAGGACTCTGGACTCGCAGCTACAACTGTACAAGTGCACACAAGAAAATCTACCCTGTTATCCTCCACCCACTGATTGAGGATCGAATTGCACATTTCTCTTAACCATGACAGGAGAAAGCAAACAGTGAAACAGAATCATGGGTGATGTTTCTCACTTTCCCTCTTGTTTTCATTGGTTTGTCCATACCATTCTAATTATCATGAAAGGGCTCTACATAGAGAGAGACTGCTTCACTGACTTACTTCCTGGATCACCGAAAACCATCAGGGTTGAAATTTCATCCAAGTCTTTCGTGACGCCCAGCAAATATTCCCCCTCGGATTATTTTACACCTTGAGGGCATTTTGGTCTTCAGTTCAACACTCTTGCTCTGTTCCCAAATGGGGCGCTATTTAGGGGAATTTAAAGAGAAAGCTGAGAAGAATAAACATTTACCGAGTTCTCTTGGCATTCAGTCTCTGAAAAACCACAGTATAAACTATTCATGCTGCTTCTTACATCTGTCAAATCGAAAATTAAAAGCCATAAAAGTGTAACACTGAAAATATGGCATTAAAAAGGATAAAGGTGGCCTTTGTAAAAATAACAAGAAAAGTATATTAGCCAATAAAATATTCTAACTCTTCATTTAAAAGTGCATCCTGGGCAGGACAGAGGAGTCCGAAGTGCTGGGACTCCAGGGCTCCCTCTCCGCCGTCAAAACGTGAGCAGTTATCGGTCCCAAACCGTACGATGCAAATCACAATTCTTAGTGTAGCAGCAAAACCACAGCAGTTTTTAAAAAGGTTAAAAAAGATTTCTGTTTTCAAATCTGTTAGCATCTTCCAGCCTCACCCTCTGAGCCTTGAAGATGGAGCCGGGGGAATACCTACGTTGGTCCTTGTGGCTTGTTGGTGTTTCTGTTCTTTTAAAACCGGGGCGAAATCCCAAAGTTCCTCTGGGGAGAAAGCACAGCTGGTGGCAGCAGGAAGGCTGGGCCCGCGAGGTGGGTCCGAGGCGTGCTGGCTTCTCTGGGCTAGAGGCCACCGAGGGAGGATGCTTCCTCCAAGATGCTTAATGACAGGAAGTGGCTTTATTTGCTTGAGTTTTAGCCAGAGGGGGTGGTGGGCTGACCAGCTGGTGTCATTGGATGGCGGGACATAGTTTGCTCTGCGCCTCTCTCCATGCAAGGTACCCTGTGAGTGTTCCTGAAAAAAGAGAAGGGGTCCATCAGAATCCACTGGACCCCGTCACCACCCAGCTCCCCCTACACTGGGGAGAACCCAGGTCTAGGTAGGCAAACCCTCCCACACCAAGTCCCACCCAAGAGGTGTTCCCAAACCAGGCAGCACAGTGGCAGGATCTCAGCTTGACTTTCCTTCACTCATCTGCTCCCCGCTGGCCCTGCCAACTTTGTGTGAGGAAAGGAAACTCGAGCAGCTTTTTGGAATCCTACACCGAGCACTGTCACCACGCCCTCCCACCAAACCACAGCATCCTTTGCAACCTGGCAGCTTTCACCCTCCACGTTACTGCATGCTTGCGTGCCAGGACTTGCCCTTGAGTTGCCCAAGGTCACCCCAAAGCCAGACAAGGTGGCCAGGGGATCCTGGAGACCAGAACCTCATCCCTGTGTTTCAGGTAACAGCCTCCCAGGGCTTGTTGCAGCCAAGAGATTGACTTTTTAACACATGGAAAATCACAATGCACACTCAGATCTCTCTTCAGGGTTTTCTACAGAGGCAACTGAGCTGAGAAGTGCCCCTCTCGGTAGGCCTCACTGGACAAAGGTAAGCCACTCACACCTCTTCATCTCCAGACCAAACAGCAGCAGGGGACTGAATCCCGAACAGTATCTGAACAGGATTGTTCACTGGAAAGGGAAAGGTTGTTTTCGGAAACACCCCTCCCCCAACTTTCACTCATGTCAGTCTGTCTCTCCATCCCTCCTGGCTTCTTTCATTTGCTACCAGTCCCTTGGCTGGACCTCCTGAGGATACTCAGTCACTCCCAGTAAGCAGCCCCCTGAGAAGTCTGCCAGTCAAACCACGAACTCTCGAGATCTGGGGTCATGCCTGCTTTGTTCCCACTCCTACACTCAGCCCCTCATTCAGTTAAACACACTAGTCAAAAGAATGAGAATCAGAATGCTCTCCTCTCCCATGTCCAGAAACAGTATCTTTCTCACTGCCAATAACTGGGGCTGTCAGAAAGGTGAATGAATAGAATTTGGTTATCGGGAGATGCTGACAGAGGTCTCATAAACATCCTCACAACCCAGGAGATTATTCCTCTAGCAACAATGAACAAGTAATTTCAGAGAGGTGATAGAATTTAGAATTTTAAGGGACCCCAGAGATAACACCTTACAATTCCTCACTTTATAATTGAAGAAAGGAGGCCCCAAAGAGACCTGGAAACTTGTTCAGGGTGTCTGCATCACGAATTTAGCACAGGTGTTGAGGAGGTTAGGGTGCTCACCGGGAGGACTAAGTAGAAGCTTGGGCTTTGAACCCCGCTATCCAAGTCCTGCTGTTAATGGTAGCAATAATAATGATCAGTCAGAAACAAGGCTTGGAAATCTGAACGTGCATGACAGGAAATGCCTGAGTTCCCCAAATCACATTAAATCACCAGATCTGTGTGCATTTAATATGTATATTAAATAACCAAAGTGAAAATGCAAAACACCGCAAATATGCAATGAGGGTGGAATTATAAGGCCATGGAAACCTTTTCATTTGGCATGGTCAGATTGGAAATGTGGATGCTTATCTTTGAAAAAAGAGCTCATTCTGATTTTTCCTTGTTTTTTCACCCTCCCTCCCTTCCTCTCTCCTTCCTTCCTTCCTCCCCTCTTTCCCCTTTTCCTTCCTTTCTTCTTCCCCCCCCCCTTTTTTTTTGAGACTAGAGACTAGTGAGAAGGGATACAAACACTGAAACACCAAGAGCCACCATCAAATGAGGACTGGGAAGGAACCTCAGAAATGACACCTGGATCCAAAACCACAGGCGGCTTGTTCTGGGGACACAGCTTTCTGTTTGGGGAGCACAGACTAGAAGTTGCTGTGACAGGGACTGGGAAACCAACCCCACCTCTGGGTTTAGGAGCAAGACAGACTAAAGCTTATAGCCTGTGTATTCTTTCTTTAAAAGGAAATTAAAAAAAAAAAAAAAAAGGTGTATAACACTTTCTCCGGTGACCAGCAAACACCACATTTTGAATGACTTAAGAAAGCAATAATTGGTTTTCAAAGATGTTGCTTTTTTCTTGAATGGAATCATGACCCTCCAAAGAGAGATGCCTCCAGTAAATTTCTTTGTATTCAAATCACCTTTGGACAAAGGCCAAACATGGACAGCATCAGCCTACTTGGAGAAAATTTCAAGGCTTTCATAAGAGACTGGAAAACGGGATTTTAATGAGAGCCATTCTGGAACCTTAACTGCAGCATTTGCCATCCCAAACACTATAATAATCATTATTATTCTCTGGTATCTATTATTGTCTGGTAAATAATATGTGTTTTCCCCCAAAGTTCTAAAGGGTGCAGCTGCACCACACTCTATTTTTTGCAGCCCCCCTCCCGCTGCTCTGCAAGCCTCCTCACACCGAGCTTATTTTAAGAGAACGGCAAAGTAGACAATTTGGGCTGTTGCCTTCCTGCTCCTCACACACTTGCGGTGTCTGGGGCACCCCCAAATGCCAGATGGTGGCAGTACAAACCCCTTTCTGCTGAGAACACTGGAGGGTGAGGTGGTATCTCCTGGTGTTCTAATCTGGTAGGTTCACGCAGACCCATGTTGGGGACACAGAAAAAACCCTGGAATCAACGAACACAAAGACCGAGGTCTGGGCTTCATCCACTTGATACGCACTAGTGCGAAAGTAAGAAACTCCTGAGTGGGGGGTGGCGGGGGGACGTAGCTTTGAGTTTGAGAAAGTGAACAGGGAAGGAAGTTCCAGAGCCTGAGTATATTACCTATTTCACACTTGCCAAGCAGAGGTCTCTTGTGGAAAATGCACCCTCTTGTCTAAAGCTCTTGAGTTGTTCAAAAGGAATATGGCCACAAGAAGTAAGAGAGATGAGGTTACAACCAGCATGACCCCTAACTCGTGAGATTGTGGCCCTATTCCTTAGTCTCCCCAAGTTTGAGTCTTCCTCTGTGAGATGGGGACCTAGTGAGTGTTTCTGTTTATTTTTAATCTGTCAGATTTTGTGACTGTAGGGTCTTTGGGCCAAATTCAGTATCACACAAGTACGGATGTAAACCTGGACAGTGGGTAGTAATGTGTTGTAAGTGCATGAGGAAGACTTAATTTCTGAACTCTGAAAGCCCAAATTTTCAGAAAGTCTCTCTCTCTCAAACACACACGGCCAGTCTCACTTTTACTTCCTCTACCTTTATGGTTAAGACTCATGCGGGTTGCATTTAAATGGAAAATTCATAGTTTCCAGGCAGCCACTCCCAAAAGTAAATGTTATGTCAAAAAAAAAAAAATTGGGCTCTCCTTGGTGGTGCAACAGGTTAAAGCACCGCATTATGAAGCTCTCCAAAGCCACTGCAGCACGGGTTCGATCCCTGACCAGAGAGCTGACCCACATGGCGTGGCAGACCTCTGCTGCTCCCCTCAGCAGTGTATTTCAGTAGATCTGCCTGTTCTGCTTCTCACTCTATCTCTGGTGAATCTTCTCAACTACCACACCTCTGGTCTATACCCCAGTTCTGTAAGGATAAATAAATAAATCTTTAAAAAAAAAAATGTCTGTTTTGTCCCTCCCAATATGGACAAGTTCATCCTTCCAGGGTGCCACCTTCCATCTGTCCCAGGAAGCTAGTCTCAATTAATCGAATTCATTTTCCAAACCTTTTTCTTTCCTTCCTCAAGTACTTTTGTAATGAGCATACTATCAACATCCTGTAGGTAGGTTGTGTCTTAATTGCTTAGGACAGCGGCCATATTTATTCCAGGGAGGCTAAAACCCCATAGCAATGGCTTGAGGATGTGTAAGAAATACCCCTGCTGGCTCTACCAGGGACACCACTCACTCGGCCTCCATGGCCCAGCCCTTCTCATGGCTGAGCACAGCCATTATGAGCTGGCTTCAGCCACACTGTTTATCTGGGACAATGACAAGTCCCGGAGGGCTGGGCTGCTCTCAGGTAGCTGCAGCTATTCTGGGACACTCACAAGGGCACAGTCCTGCGGTCAATGAACAGAGCCATCTGCAGCAGCTGATAAACCCAGCAGTGGTGCCAGACAGTGGTGTCCGCACAAAGCCCATCCCAAAAGGGCCACAGCTGGATGCGGTTTTGCCCCAATATGCTCCCCTCTCTCTTTCATCAACTGCTGCCTCATGAAAAGTTCTGATGTGGCCTGTACCAGGATAAAACTGCTTTCATTTATGAAGTGAGGGTACCTGTTTTCTTATAGTGCATTAATTGCCTCGTTAAATAGAGAAACATCCTCCTCTTTCCTGGGGCAATTGCCATGGAAGTAACCCATGGGTGAGGAAGGGATGTGGGGACCAAGGCTAAGCCTCATTTTAGCCCAGCTCAGGGCTCTGGTTTGAACTACAAATCCATCAGACTGTGTCACTCACCCCTTGGCGCTCATAAGTTAAAGCTGAAAAAAAGAAAAGAAATATGTTTGCCATTCTTTTTTGTAATTTTCTCCTTTCACAATCTTATTTTACTCTTTCCTCAATAAAAAATCACAACCCTGTAAGCTCCTGTAACTGAGATAATTATATATTTAATTCTTCATTTTATACATTGTAATTTTGGTTTTCTTTGCTCATGAGTTAAGAGAGTGGAGAAGTGAGTCTATTCTACCAAGTAGCCACTGATACTTCTCTGGCCTCTAAAAGTTCCTGAGGGACAAAGAACCCTCAACCTCAGAACCCCTCTTCTGCATCCAAAAAAGTCATTACCTTCACCCTAAACCAATGACCTGCTTTACCTCAAATTCTTTCTGGGACCTTGGAGTTCAAGTAAACCAAGAGACCCAGCACAGATTTCATAGACGCACTAGAACAGGAAGCTACATCCATTCAGAAAAGAGAAAAATAAAACAACTGTATGATATAGCAGATGTTCTCAGAAAAACATGAAGAGCCTACAGCCCTTGTTTCCTGACTTTCTGGACCAAGCGCGGCCTGTTAGGGTCTGGAAGGCTGCCAGGATTTCAAAGACTGGAGTCAAA